TGTACAGGCCATGATCGTACCAGCGCTGGCTGCAATTCATAATTACATTCTTGATCATGATTCGGATGAAGTTCGGGACCTCCCTGATATTTTCGATCCTTCACCTGGCATGATTCCTCACGGCGAGCGTGATTTTGGACAGTTGGCACGCGGACCACCCACAATAGCTGAGAAGGATCGTGCAAAGAGGAGGCGTGACGAGATTGCACAGGCAATGTGGGATAGTTATCAAGCATATCTACGGGAGCTTGGAGAGTGTTCAGAAACAGACGAATGATTGTTATATGTATAGAACATCAGAAATAAAGGCTATCGAGCTTCCCTCTCACCCACTTCTTACGCAAAGATTCCTTTTTTAAGACCAAATAAGTATCGACCGCCGCAACATCCTTCTCGAGGACATCAATAAACTTGATGAGATCGTCCTCCGAAAGCCACCCATCCTCGAGCTCCTGCGCCTGACCAATAGCACGCTGCTTGCGTCGCGGTGTTGCCTCCAATCCCGTTTGCGTTGGCGCGAAAACATTTTCGAGGACTTCGGTGAAGCGGCCCATCGACCTCCCAATGTCGGCGATTCCCTGAGCTCCAGCAGAGAGGCGAGGGGTCTTTGCAGCACTAGCAGAGGTAGGGGCAGCCGCAGCACGCTTGCGAGAGGAAGATGGAGCAGGTGTCATTGGGACAGAGCGGGGAGAGGGCTATGTACACCATTCAGTAAGGGACAGCCACATTATAGCGAGGTACTCACCTCCGGAGCGCTTTCGGGGACATCTTCCTCGTCCTCGTCATCAGCCCGGGCCCCACCATCATCCTCTTCCACTTCGAAAGCTTGCCGTGCCTCGTCAGGTGCACCAATGTCGTCCCCATCGAGATCTTGAGATTGCTGGTCCAAAACGGGGCGAGGACCCTGCGAGGCACGAAAAGCGTGGTTACCCTTGGCCTTTGAGGGGATTAGGCTGTCAAAGGAAGCGAGATAGGGCCACCCCTTGTTGCGAAACGGAGCGGCATCAGGGTGCTTTGCCTTGAAGTCATCCCATGTCCCCTTCTTCTCCGGCGTGATGCTCGCACCTTCCTCATCATCCCACGACCACCCTGAGTTGTCCCGAATGAGGCAGACGATGTCATAAGTGGATTTGAGCTGAAAACAGAGGTCAAAGAAGTGCGAAGCAGGCAGTAAAAAATTACATACAGTCCTGTACTTTCCCTTGCAGGAAAGATAAGTTTTCTGTGCTCCCTTGGTCAATGTTTCATTGAGATGAGCTGCACATGCCCTCCAGGTAGCAACCTTGAAGTTCCCTCCATCTCCAGCTTCAGACTTGTGCTCAATGAGGTACTCGAGGAAGTGTGTGGTGTCGGCATGGGTCCATGCTGCCTTCTTTGAGGTAGCCTCAGCTGTAGCAGGAGCAGGAGCACGTGTAGCAATATCTTGAGTAATATTTTCTGTGGCTTCTTGGCCACGCAGGGCAGGCATCGCGTCGAGGAAGCGCGTCGACGGTGAGCCAAGACTCGCAAAGTCACTCAGTTGTCACGTCGATTTTGTGATTTGTCATATCTACTATATTTGGCAAAATCGCCCGCAGAATCGAAATCCGATTCTGATGCCGAACAGGCTCTAAACACCTGTACGAGTATCACGTTCTCCAAATCCCACATTATCTTGGAATTTTGAAAAGCAGGATTTGGATGATTGGAATACTTGTTGGCTGCACTGCGTCAATAACTGATAACCAAAAACTTACGAGAGATGTCAAAGGCTATGGTGACTGGTATGATGAGATAGATGCGTCGATTCGATATATTCCATCTTATCTTATCTAATCTCACCAAAAAATGTAATCTAAAAATGACTCCTCCTGCTCTCCCCTCTCCTCCTCTCCAAATCACCGCCCCTATGTCCATCCTCGGCCTCCCCGCGTCCTCGACGCCAACCAAGCCGGCCCACTTTTCGATCGAAGCCGCGATCCGCCCCAACATCCTCGCATTGCATCCGTACCGCTGCGCACGCGACGACTACCAATCCGGCATCCTCCTCGACGCCAACGAGAACGCCCTCGGCCACTCCATCCTCCCCTCCCCCCCCACCTCCCCCTCCTCCCAAATCCCCGGCGCATCCGACCTCGACGCGACCCTCGCCCTCGATCTCCACCGCTACCCCGACCCCTCCCACACCCCGCTCAAATCCCGCCTCGCCTCCCTTCGCGCTCTCCCGGGCCCGGACCACGTGTTCCTCGGCGTGGGCTCGGACGAGGTCATTGATCTTCTGCAGCGGGTATGCGTGGCGCCGGGGAGGGAGAAGATCCTGACGACGCCGCCCACGTACGGGATGTACAGCGTGTGCGCGCAGGTGAACGACGTGGGGGTGGTGCAGGTGCCGCTCGAGCTCAGCGGCGCGAACGGGGAGGGCGGGGAGAAGGGGCGGTTCAGTATCCGCGTTGACGAGGTACCTCCTTTCCATCTACGCCCTACGAACACGGAATTGACGGACACCCACGCAGATCAAGAAAGCGATCGACGCTGACCCGTCAATCAAGCTCATCTTCCTCTGCTCCCCCGGCAACCCCACCAGCACGCTCCTCTCCCTCTCCTCCATCCGCGAGCTACTCTCCTACCCAGCATACAAGGGCGTGATCGTGGTCGACGAGGCCTACATCGACTTTACTAGCGATGAAGCCAGCGCCGTGTCCCTCATCCCCGAGTTCGCGAACCTAGTGGTGATGCAGACTCTCAGCAAAGGCTTCGGGCTCGCCGCCATCCGGTTTGTCCCTCCTTGTCCCCCTCCCTAACCCAAACCACAATACTAACGCCCCCTCGTCCCCGTCCAACCAGCCTCGGCATCGCCCTCGCCCAACCCCCCCTAATCCAAGTCCTCACGAACACCAAAGCCCCCTACAACATCTCCACCCCCACCGCCTCCCTCGCCCTCTCCGCCCTCTCGCCCCCCTCCCTCTCCCTCTCCCGCTCCAAAATCGCCACCCTCCTCACGCAGCGCACGCGGCTCCTCTCTCTCCTATCCCAGATCCCGGACATCGGCGCGCCCATTGGAGGAGGGGACGCGAACTTCGTGCTGGTGCCTGTGCTTGAGAGGGGAGGAGGAGGGGGAAAGGACAATGAGCGCGCGAAGAGGGTGTATAGGAAGCTGGCGGAGGAGAAGGGGGTGGTGGTGAGGTATCGTGGGGGGGAGGCGGGGTGCGAGGCGTGTGTGAGGATTACGGTGGGGAGTGAGGAGGAGAACACGATAGCGGTGGAGCGCCTACGTGCTGTGCTCGAGGTGCTCTGAACCGGATAGATATCTTTATTACTTAGATTGCGGATTCAATATCAAACAACATTCTCTATTCTCTTTTTCCCTCTTTTTCCTACCACCGAACACGCAGAACCCTTCTCCCAACCCCCACGCCCCCCTCCCAACACCCCTCCACCCGTCCCCCCTCCTCCTGCACCGCCCCCACAAACTCATTCACCCCCCCTCCCACCCCAAAATACACCACCTTCGCCGCTACAAAACACGTCCCTGCCCCCCCGCCCGCCCTGCGCATGAGCCCCAGAAGCGCCGGCACGCTCTCTGTCCTGTATATCGTTTCTGAGGTCACTACCACGTCGTATCTTCCTTCCTCTCCTCCTTCTCCTCTCTCTCCTTCCCCTACTCCTTCTCCTCCCACTCCCACTCCCCCTTCCCCGGGTCCAAGCGCCTGTGCGACGTCAAACGCCTCCCACGCCCCCGCGAAGAACCGGAGCTGCACGCGGTACGCCGCCAACGCCTTCAAGAACGCCGATTTGAGGAGGGGCGTGATCGGAAGCTCACCCGTGGTGGTCGGGTCCGGAGCCGGCTCCGCCGTCGTCGTCGTCGCTGAGGACGCGGAGGCCGATGCGGTGGAGGCGCGCACGGGGGCGGCTGCGGGGGACATGTCTATTTTCGTTTTGGGTTGTATGCGTAGATCAGTACTTTGCACTCGAAAATTAAGAAGGAAAAGGGAGGGGGGGACGTACACCATGTGAGGAGGAGGTTGGGGAAGGAGACGAGTTCGAGGACGGAGGGGTTGTAGTCTTGAAGATGGATCTCTGTTTCCTTATCGTCTGGGTCCAGTGGGTCACTGGAGAACAGCCGGCGGAGGAGGCACATCGAGGGTACGGCCGTTCCGCACCCGATCTACCACACCGCAACAATCAGTCACTCCTTCACTAAGAAAAAAAAGAAAAAAAAAGAGGTACCTCCAACACGCGTTTCCCGCTTACATCCCCCTCCTCCCCCCCAACAAGCCACCCCCCCAAATCAACACTACACTCCCACGTCTTCAGCCCCCCCTCATACACGCCCGGCACCAGGTCCGACGGCGCCTCTACGAACGCCAGCCCATCCTCCCTCTCCCTCTCCTTCCCCTCTCCTTTCTTGGTGGGGACATCGTCATTGGAGGGCGCGATGAGCTGGTACCGCGCGTCGAAGAGATCGCGGCGGACGAGGGTCACCTGCCCCGGGGAGGATTGGGGAGCGGGGGTGGGGGAAGGGATGGGGACGGGGATGATGGGGATGACGAGGGGGGAGTAGGAGATGAGGGAGGGGAGACGCTCGAGCTACTGAGTCCGATCGTGTGTTAGATCGTCTCTACTTATCACTATCACTATCAAGAGGCCTCACGAGTTCTTCGATCGGGAGTTCTGTGAACGCATGTCCTGGGGACAAAGCGGGTGTGGTGACATTGTCTGGGGTTATCTGTACGCGCGCGAGATGGGCGTCGATGGCGAATTCGGGGTCGATGTCCGCGTCGTCGAGGGCAAAGTCGAATTTGAACATGATGGGAATGGGAAGGAGGCCAAATTTTGCACAGCCACGAGATTGGATTTCTGATTTTGCCGCTGCACACGCCTCGATGCTCATCACTTCTCTTGAATTGATTTCTAGTCTACAGATTATCTACAGACTACGGACTCCAACAGTTTTGATGTGCATCATATTATCGTGTGTCAGGCTGTCATTTAGCAGCAAAAACCACGTTGTAATTCTGCCATGACTGGACCCCGATTCGAACAGGGATCTTCTGTGTGATGCATGGTGTGGGACATCTTCTGTGTGATGCATGGTGTGGGACTATGGGCACTCTGTACAGATGTGTTGCCAATACACCATCCAGTCATGTTGATGTGGGTTGGCGGTAGAGATATGACACGGAAAAACCGCCAGGGCGTAAGATGGACTTGGACATATTCAGAAAGGGAGAGGACAGCTTATGTGGGGCTCCGGGGGTGAGTCGACCTGCGTACAATATAGAAGGCATGCATTAGGTTGGGTGTGTAGTATTATTGTTGTGGGTCGTGGTAGCACTTAGCATCAAAAACAACATTTTGGGATTGGTGGCAGTGACCACACCCTGAGTCGAACAGGGCTTCTGTGCCCCACTGTGTGGTAGCATAGAAGAGGTTGTACGTAGGTTTCCTGTACACCATCCTGGCCATGTTGTTACTGCACTGATACGCAATCGTAAGACGCCAATGGACGGCCGAGGAACAGAGCAGTTAGATGCTCACCGTGTTATCCGACCGATACCGGCGGTGGATAGGTGGATTAGGGTCCTTATGGCCGCGTTCAAACTGACGTCTTGTGTACAATATTGGTAGTTCATGGGGTTCTGGGTGTATGTTGACCTGCGTACAATTACTACAATATCAAAGACGTGTTACCTGATTGTTGCTTGATTAGGTGTATCATGTTCTTGTGCGTCAGGCTGTCATTTAGCAGCAAAAACAACGTATTGGAATCATACAGTGACCGGACCCTGATTCGAACAGGGATCTTCTGTGTGATGCATGGTATGATGGGACTATGGGCACTCTGTACAGACGTGTTGCCAATACACCATCCAGTCATGTTGGTCTGCATTGGCGGTAGAGGTATGATAGGGAAAAACCGCCAGGCCTTAGGATAGACTTGAACATATCGATCAAAGGAGATGGAGGCTTATGTGGTCTAAGGATGAGGCGACTTGCGTACCGCGGGTCGTGATAGCACTTAGCATCAAAAACAACAGTCAGGGACTGCGCTGCGATGCCCAGACCCTGAGTCGAACAGGGCTCCTGCGCCAAACTATGCAGTAGCGTAGAAGGGGTTGTAGAGGGGTTTCCTGTACACCATCTGGCCCTGTTGTTACTGCGTTGATACACAATGGTAAGACCCAAGGAAGAGAATACTTAGACACTCACCGTGTTGTCCGACTGCTACCGATGAATAGGTGTTTGGGGCCTCGTTCGAACAGACGTCTTGTGTACGATATTAGTACGCCGCCTACACTGATGCACCGCGCAATTTGGAAACAATATACTCGATACATACATTCATGGCTGTTTCGTTCGATCGAGTGTGTCCTGGTGCCGGTGGAGCTCTGAGCGGCACTTGTGGTCGAAAAAAATCCGTTATGGAGAGCCTAGAGGCTACATCACCGGAACAGACGTATGGCAACCAGACCCCGAATCGAACGGGGCTCTTCTGCGTAATGCGTCGAGGTTAATGTTCTACATTCACGGCATGTATTGCAGATGTGTTGCCCATACACCATCTGGTCCTGTTAGACGTATGCGATGCGCTCCAATGACAATGCAGAGGACGAAGACGGCTCCGTCGATAGCTAGTCGAGAAATAGTAGAAGTTGAAGACCAGTGAAGACCTTGGCTAATAGTGTTGAATAGAAACGTCGGATAGAACTAGTTCGTAGCAGAGAGAGTCGTAACTCTGGTAGTAGTACATCCCAGCCTGGGTTATGAGGTATTCGTTTGTCGTCGCGAAGTGCATGGAACGGGGCCCTCGATGTAGGGACAAGAATTTGAAGGCAAGGAAAGATTCCCACGTACACAAACTTCTACGCCCGGACTCTGATTCGAACAGGCTCTTCTACATGAGTAGGTAAACCCCTGGCATTCGCAGATCAGTGTGAGCGACACGCCGTCCGGTTTCTAAGTGAGAAAACGAGAACACGATGAGTGGATGCTATTTTTAAACCGCGCACGGCTGTGACCATGACGTGACGTGTCGCGTTTCTTCTGCCAGCCACCGCGATGATCAAGTTCATCGCGCCTTGCCAGCCGCCAGCCAGACTCAAGATGCAGTCAGCCGCGAGCTCTATAAGAATGCCCTCGCACCCAGAATCAGCTCTTCGCCCCAACCCCCATCATCCCACCAGCCGAAATGCATTTCACAAACTTCATCACTCGCAAACACACCCGTAGATCCCTTAGGCTTTCGAGCCGAAGGCTACGCACAGCAGTCCAGAATGTAAAGACATCTTCTACCAGTGCTCCGTCGCGGAAAGGCGGGTTCTTCAGCGTGCAGCGTGAGACGCTCACCGGTCTCCTCGCCATCACCACCGTCACCGTCCAGTACCTCTTCGCCACCCCCGCTCTCTCCTCCGCCCATCATACAAGCCTTCAAACCCCTCCACCGCCCCCGACCCGCCCCTTCGTTCCATGCACTCCCTCGTCGACCTCGCCCATCGACGCAGGACACGGATCGCCAATTCTGTTGTACATGTCCGTCGCATGCGTTATGGCCGGGATAGTCCTCGGCGCTGGTACGTTCTCCTGCTCTTCTCATCATTTCGTAAGCGGCTGACACCCACTATTTTACAGGTACAATCTACACCCGTGGCAAGCGCAGATCGACGCGTCTCGCCCGCCCTCCGCCAAATCCGACCCCGCCGCCCGATCCACCCCCGCCGCCTCCTCCCCCCGTTGCTCAAGACAATGGGGCTGACGATGAGGCTGACAACGAGGCTGACAACGAGGACAGTGGCGATCCCGACCCCGATCCCGACCCCGACCCTCCTTCAACCGGCTCAGAAGCCGAAGACCCTCCCCCCCCACCCCCGCCTTTCGAATTCAGGCCCGACCTCTCCCTCGCCATACTCTACACAGTCCTCCTCCTCAGACTCATCTACACCTCCCTATCCCCCCACATCCGTGCCCACCCCCGCCTCGCCGAGCTCCAAGAGCTCCTAGCGCAACTCCTCGACCTCCTCAACGAGGTCGAGGTCACCGGGCACACGATGGATATGCGGGACTATGCATGGGGCGCTCCGTTCGTCATGCACGGTATGGAGGACCTGCCTGAGCTCGCGTCGTCCTCTGTCCCCGCGGCGCCGATGTGCCCACACCAGCCGCTGAACCTTCCCCAGCCCCTCGCGGACGCCATTAGGGCGTACTTCCCCGAGGCTGGGGACAGGGCGGTGCGTGGACGGACGTGGCGCCACCGGGCATCCGGATATGCTTCAGCTCTGGGGAACGCCGTTAGGGCGTTCGTCCCGGAGCGTGGTGTATGGTCGGATGCAAGGGAGGCAGTAGCAGCAGCGAGGATGCGCTTGGGCGCCATCGGTGCTAGGGTGCCTATTGAGTGGGGGACTGTGGTGCGTGCTGTGATGGGTCTCGTGGCGCTGGGGGTGGTGATGAAGCGGGTGGTGGACGTGCCCCTCCGTGTTTCTACACCTACCGGTGTCCCTCTGGACGTTGTTGAAGCCGATGTAGCCGAAGAGGAGGAAGAGGAGCAAGAGAAGCCCGAACAAGAAGTTGAATCCGACGCGAGCGAGACAATCAGCGTCGAGGATCTAGATGAAGGGGACGCTGGGCCATCTGTTCTTATGTCCACCATCCTCAGCCCCATCCTCGAGGAAGACGAAGACGAAGACGAAGACTCCACCTCCGACCCCCTTCTCCCGCCCTTCGACCCTTCCCTAGCCCACACCTCATCCGCATCCTTCACCACCGCCCTCTCCCTCTCCCTCTCCTCCTCCCCCGCACGCCCCATCCCACCCTCCACCTCTACCTCCACCTTCCACGCCGACGCATTCTCCTTCCGCCCCGACGCCTCCTCCTCCCCCATCCACCCCCAAATGGTGTTCGCCCCCGACGAAGACGGGGTGTGGCTCCCGCGGGAGGTAAGGGCCGGGGAGGAGATGGACATGGACAGTCGCGGGTGGTTGGGCATGGAAGTTGCACCCAGCGACCAGGACCAGAACCACATCCAGAAAGATTTGCGGGTGTCGGAGGAGGAGTGGGCCGAGTTTATTGCGATGTTCCCTGAGGTCCTCGAGCAGGCGCAGGATGGGGGTGGAGAGGATGAGATGTCGGAGTACCTGCCTCCCCTTGATATGGATGTGGATGAGGTGGGGGAGGGGCTGTCGTGGGATGATGAGGGGGTGCGGGGTGGGGAGGAGGTGGAAGCGGCGTTGGCGGCGTTTATCAGTGGCTCCCACGCCGACGCAGACCACACCGAAGAGGATGTCCATGAGATCCCGTGGAACACCGAGGATATGCAAGACGGGGACGCCATCGAAGCGGGGTTGGAGGATTACAGCCTCATCATCGACGATACCCCCCTCGGTCGGCCCATTCCCTTCCTCATCGACGAATCCACACCCGACACACCAGAAGAACAAGAAGAAGACGAGGATCTGGGGGGCGGCATATTAGCAGGCCCCTACCTGGGGGAGTTGGCGCGGATGATGGAGGAGGAAATGAAGGCCGTGGAGGAGGTGCAGATGCGCGGTGCGATGAGGGTGCGTGTTGAGGAGACAAAGAGGCAGTGGGTGGGGTTCACGAGTATGGCGCGGGGTGGGGGTCGTGGTGCGCTGAAGGGGAAGGCGCGCGTCAAGCCTGCGGTGGATCGAGTTCGGGGGGCACTGCCCAAGGTAAGTTTCTTTTCTTTTCTTCTCCCGTTGGACGTCTTGTTGATTGTATGCGGTGTATGTGTAGCCTCCTGTTTCTGGTCCCAGCAAGGTTGATCGGCGCGCTACTTCTTCTCGTGCCTCCGCTCCTTCGGCGGGCTCGGTATCCGATGCTGCCACGACCGAGGCCACGCGCCAGGGAAAGGGGAAGGGGAAGGAGCGCGTCAAGCCTACTGTGGATCGGGTTCGGGGGGCACTGCCCAAGGTATGTCTTTCTCTTTTTTGCCCCTTGAATGTTTTATTGATTGTATGCGGGTGTATGTATAGCCTCCTGTTTCTGATCCCCGCAAGGTTAATCGGCGCGCTGCTACAAGTTCTTCTTCTTCTCGTGCCAGGACTACTTCGGTCGTCGCCGCGGTGCCCCTCATCGTCGTGACCGCCCCGCCGTCCTTGCCTTCCTTGCCTTCTCTGCCTTTCCTGCCTCCCGTACCTAAACCCACACCCACACCCACCCCCACACCCAAACCCACCCACACCCACCCCCACGCCTGCACCAGCCCGGAAGACCTACGAACAATGGACGGAAGACCAGAGAGACAAAGTGCGGAGGGAGAACCCGGATTATAGCATGGAGGAGGCGGATAATGTTGCGATGTGGTTGTGTCGCTTTAGGGCGGCGGAGCGGGGGGGGTTTGAGGAGGGGTTCGATTTTGGGGAGTTGGTGCTTGATTGAGGGGGGGGAGGGGGAGTGGATGGGATGTGTCTTTCTCTTTTTCTGTCTCTCTGTCTCTTTCTTTCTCTCTGTCTCTTTCTGTCTCTCTGTCTCTCTGTCTCTCTCTTTCTCTCTCCATCTCTATCTCTATTTATCTTCATCTCTCCCTCTCCCTATCTCTATCTCTATCTCTATTTATCTTCATCTCTCCCTCTCTCTCCTCTCTCTCTCTTTCTCTCTTTCTCTACCTCTCTCTATCTCTATCTCTCTTTCTCTCTCTTTCTCTCTTTCTCTCTATCTCTACCTCTCTCTATCTCTATTTATCTTCATACTCCATCTATGTCTATCATCCACCTAGGGTTTCATCTATCTTATTTTTATTCTTATTCTTATTTATCATATATATACGGGACTGCGCCTGGATCCAAATAAAGCTTATTATCATCGAATGCTTGGAGTAGTGAGCTGAGGTTCGGCCTCGGGTACGAGTGAGGGATGGATCGAAAGATGGTGTATCGTGAGCTGCGCGTATGATGGATAGAGGCGTTGCGATTTTAGCGGGAGGTGGAGTACCGGAGAAGAGGAGGGGATTTTATTTGGTTAGATGGAATGGGATGGTGAGGCGGGAGTTTTGGGCGGATTGGAGTACTGGTAGGAGATGCGACGCACGAGACGAATCCCCGCAAATGGACAGCTTATGTGGGGCTCTGGGGGTGAGTCGACCTATGTGCAATATAAAGGCATGCGCCAGGTTGGATGGGTCACACTAATTCTTGTGGGTTGTGGTAACACTTAGCATCAAAAACACTTTCTGGGACAGGTATCAGTGACCAGACCCTGAGTCGAACCGGGCTCCTGCGCCCAACTATGCGATAGCATAGAAGAGGTTGTACGTAGGTTTCCTGTACACCATCTGGTCATGTTGTTACTGCATTGATAGACTAATACAATGGTAAGACGGCAATGAACGGCTGAGGAACAGAACAATTAAACACTCACCGTGTTGGTAGACTGATACCGGTAGATAGGTGGATTAGGGTTCTTACGGCCGCGTTCGAACTGACGTCTTGTTGGTAGTGTTGTGATTTCGGGCTTGATAGCGAGCACAGGGGCGGTTAAGATTACGTAAACGGTGTCACCAGGACAGCTGCACAACTCAAATCAATCGGCGTCAAAATCGAGGATAGCACGATTATTG